AGGCATATGAATCTTTGGCACATCTGGCACAAATACCTTGCGACGCCAGCTACAACAGTACCATGCAAATGCCTGTTCTCACTTTCAGGTGACACTGTAATTAAGAAGTGGGCAGCATTATCTCCCGTAAATGTAAACAAACTTGTTTCTCTTAGCGATTGGCTGAACAAGAAGTAGGACTGATTGGACTTGTAGGCTCTAAAGTTTTACATTGTTTTGTTTTTGAGTGCAGTTATGGAACCAAAAAAACCCCTACATTTGTAACTTGCACTTTCATGATTAAAAAAACTGCACTATGGGACTTGTATGAGGTGAACTGAAAAATACTATTTCTTTTGTTTATAATGTTTACAGTGCAAATATTTGTAATAAAAATAAGATAAAGTGAGTACTGTACACTTTGTATTCTGTGTTGTAATTGAAATTGATATATTTGATAATGTAGAAAAACATCCACAAATATTTAATAAATTTCAATTGGTATTCTATTGTTTAACAATGCAATTAATAGCGATTAATTTCTTTAATTGCTATTAATTTTTTGAGTTAATCGCGTGAGTTATCTGCGTTCAACCGACAGCCCTAATATATATAGTTTATTGGTACACTGTGCAAAGTACTTTTCTTTCCCACTAATGCCCAAATCAGAAACAGCTGAAGAGATTTTGTGCAAATTTAACAAAAAATTTCACTTTGGGGAAAAGTCCTAGAAAGGAAATTTCAGACATCACAAAAATTAACATTTTGGACACACAGAAGGGACTACATAGTTATCTTGACTGAAGCATGTGCTACCAGGCTCCCATTATAATAGAGAACTCAGGAGATTTTTTGTTTTAATTTAGTGTAACTTAAGACCAAGGGGGCATGTAACATATAGTGAGTATTCAGAAGCAGATGATGAAGATTCACCATCATGTCTTTAGAGATCACCACACAACAGGTAACAGTCTACAGTGCATTTCAAAAATATGAATGTTCCATTGGGGAAACAAAAATACCATACATGTTTTCCTATGCCCATATTCTCTCTGAATTTTGTACTACTCTGTTAAATCATGCAGCCCAGAGTTAAGTGGATGGATTGATCACAGTACTCCCTGTTAAATGACTTACTATGGCCTTGTATTCCACATTTCCATTCCTTTCCCCTTATTTTAGAGGCCTATATTTCATGTGTGGGATATTTATGTAACAAACTTGGCAGAATTTTGTTGTACATTGTGGTTCTAGGTATTAAGCAGAAGAAGCAAGAGGCAGTAATTTTCTATAACCTTTTCTTTTGTGCTTCAGATCAAATTGTTCTTCAAAGAGGAATCCGAGATCAGAATTACTTTGCAATGGGAACTAGGAAGAGGGAAAATGTCCTAAACAAGTTGAAGTTTATAACATAGCGAGAACACTCAACCATTTATTAAAAACATCTCTGTTGAGCTCCATGTAATAGTGTCCATGGTCACGGGACCAACTTCTCCCCCTCACCTCCACCCCCCAAGATAACTTTCTTTTGCTTACTCCCTGAACAACAGAATAGTTTTGAGCCATGGAGTGCCCTTTGACCTCTCAATCCTTTTGCTGTTCCCTTTGCTAAATTAGCCCTGTAAGAGGCTGCAGTTATTTTTTTAACCTCAAGCTTTGCTCTACTGACTACCAGCTTACTGCTGCATTCTCCTTCGCACAAACGCTCACCACACAGAACGAATTTAGACAGCAAGCAGAAACCACCATCCACTTCATTAATTTCTCATTTTCCTGACCCACTGAACTGGTAACCGTATTATGTGCTTTAACTCACAGATGTGAAGTCACATGGATGAAAATAGACATGACGCAACATCATTGCTGCTGGGCTTGTTCCTAAACCTGGCAGCCCATTTTATTTTGAGCCACGAGTGCATTTAATCGCGTGTAAGCCAGTGCCGCCTCCAGAGCATTTCTCAGCCAAGACTTAAATCATTAAATTTTCATTCTTAGGCTTTGGAGAACTCTCAAAAGAAAATATCTGCATAATGTTTTGAAACCAACAATACCCCTCAAATTTCAATATGGGCCCAAATAAAGCACTAGTCTTCAAAAGAGCAAAGATTTATGATTATTCATATTTTAGGGAACACATGATTTGGCTTATAAAAGTATTAATCATACACATCAGCCTTAGCGTTGCAAACACTACAGTAAAACATTAAGAAAACTGTTCTTCAGCAACAAAGAGATAACATAGGTGAAATATGCACTGACAGATACTTACAAATAAGGATGGAAAAGTATGCATGATGCCTCTGGTATGTCAGTAGGCATTAGAGGCTCATCAAAGACTGAACTGTTTAGATTGTAACCAGTGACAGAACTGGCTACAGTATGCGGAAGATAACCAGTTTAGCGTGCGGACACACACAGCAACCCTGCCAACTGTTAGAGAACCAGTGCTTTGTGAGTCTGCTCAGAACTGCACAGTTGAAGAGGTGCTGTAGGAAATAATTTTTAAAATGGGATTCCTTAAAATATGCTTCTTCTTTAGAAACAAAAGCAGCATACATTTTATAATGTATAAAGAAACATATCTGATTCTTGCTTAAAAACAAAGACCTCAAAACCGTATGCCTTGTACCTTATAAAAAAAAAGTCAAATGCAAAACATTGAGAAGCTGCAGTAGTTCAAAACAAGAAGTCAGGAGTACAGGAGACCCTGCACACTCAAACAGGTGTAGTGTAACAATCAAGAACAACAAAAGCATGCACCAATGAATTTTACAAAATTAAAGTGATCTTTTCTATTTAGCCACAGTATTGTGGGATTTTGCTGGAAGGACCAGACTAGTGCAGCTGCAACACCAGGGCTTTCTTTCTACACTTAGCACTATCCCAGGTCAAACATGAGCTTACATCAAAAGAAATACTTGCAGTAGTAAGTTGCACAGGTAACTGGAATGCTGTGAAATATTTAGGGTTGTCAATTTTGGTTGGACGTATTCCTGGCAATTTCATCACATGACATAATCTTTAATTAAAGATTAATCTTTAATTCCTGGAGACTCTAGGACATTCCTGGAGGGTTGGCAACCCCAGAAATATTACAAGTTTTTCCTGGGTGTGGATGTGAACTGTTTCATAAGTCTCCCATGTGTCTGAATTGTTTCTGTAAATGCTGAAGGTTTAATAGTACATGAGGCTTTATATTAAGGTGCGAGATGTTATTTCCATTTTTTATTGAGCCAAAACTTGCCTTAGCAGTACATCTGTTTGGCCATTACTTAGTTACAGCTCACTATTAAGCTGTTGGTTTCTGATGTTTGACATAATTAAACTCTTGTTTCTATGAGTTAATTCACAAACCTAAGCAATAACAGTCATCTGCATTTCCAATGCTTGTTTACAATGATTAAGAGCAACACAGGACCATAACAAAGTCCTGAAAGAAGCTGGTCCTAAGAATTATCATCACTTTTTCTTGTGAATTTATTAAAAGAAGTTAAATCAAAGAATATTTTAAAGGAGCTTGATGAGTGTTCATTGTGCAACCTTTCAAAAGTAAAGAATATATATTTAAATCCAGGATCCTGCCTCTGGGAGTAGCCAGTAACTGACACTTCTGGAGAAGGCAAAAACCAACAATGAAACTAGCCAAGGTAGCTACAGGAAATAGGGTTGGTCAAATTCTATTCTGCAAAGATATTATTTAGCAAACACAGTAAAATTAATTGCATAAAATCTGCTGATAAAGTTTTTCTTCTACTCACCCATCCTTAGCAGTAAGTTACTTTTTTAAAATATGCATAAAATAGAAAGTTGACTGACAATATGCTGGAAATTAAAGTACCAAACAATTAAAGAACACAACTGTTATTTCTTTACAAGTGACAGAGGGTGTTGTGGCCCAGCAAATTTGCACCTGGCCTATCACATGCTGAGTAAATTTTCAAGCCCTGAATGTATATGAAGGAAAAACTCCATTCCAATTTCTGCAGGCCATCAATTTATACCATGAAGCCTGAAAATAGATTATTAGTATTTGTTATGTAAACTAACGTTAGTCATAAAATTATTCCACCTTTTAAAAAGCCAAAGATTCCTACTACTAAATGTTACAGGTGAAATGCACAGTGTATACCACAAAACATTTTTTGGTTTATTCCAGAAGGCTATCCAAACTAAGATTCTCTTCATAAAAATTGTCTCAATTCTCCAAACCCTTACCAGTAATCCCACTGAGTCACAGGAGTATGAACTACACAGACAGATAAGACTTTGGATAAAATGAGCCCCAAATTAATTTTCTATAAATGACCCAAAAAAGTATGCATACGATCAGATTAATGGCTAATTATTTCCCACTGCACACCTTGAATTTCTATGCACTATTCACTAATCTAGTTCCCACACAAGTCAATGGAAGTTTTGCTATTGGCTTAAATGGGAGCAGGACCTGGCTCTAACGACCCAATTCTACAAGGCCTTATGGACATGCTTAACTTTCTGTACTGTGAGTAGTCCCATTGAAGTCAATGGAATTATTTGTAAAATTAGCACAAGGACTGGGGCCTAAGCTCATAAATCAAACAAGTTTCTTTGTACTCTCCCATTTGGCTATATCCACATGCTGTCTCTTCTCTTAAGATTGTAGGATATTTGGAGCAGGGACTGTGTTTTTGTTCTGTGTTTGTACAGCATCTAGCCCAATAGGGTACTGGTCACGACTAGGTCTCCTAGGAGCTATCACAATACAAAGAATAAATAGTCTTAAAGGTTTGGCATACCACAGAGACCTCCATTCACTTCCAACCTCTATCCACAACTCATTACACTGTTTCTCTATCACTGGCACATCTCATTTTTACATGACAAAAGTTAGGATTCATCTTCTCTTTCTTGTTCAGCAAAACAAAGTGTAGCTAATGGATTGTCTGAGTGACACTCCAATGAACCATTTTAAAGCATAATTTTCTTTATTTAGATAGAGATTTCTCATGGCTATATATTAAAAACAAAAGTAAGTGCATTACCTGTTATCACATTAATATCTGGGTATTGGTTTTCACAGAGAGTAACAGCCTTGCTATCCCTCTCAAACGCCTCTCGAAGCTCTTTCTTGACTGCTGCTGAACCACATAATCGGTACAGGCCTACAACCTAGAAGTGAAATCATGGCCACACTGTGACATATTACCCATTACAGAGCACTAAGTAGTGCTGCTCAGATAACTGGCATGAAAAGAATGAGATGTTTTACAATGTCTTCAGTTAAGGATCAAAAAATGCTCACACCCAAAAACTTACTTAAGTAAAAAATGAAAGCATATGGCAAAATCTTTTGACATCAAACAGCAACATGTTATCAATAGTGTACAATGTCCACAGTCTGGCTTATAATAGTAAATAAATAATAATGTTCTCTACAATAGTGAAACTCAGTCTCTTATCAGTTTGTTTCTATGGATGCAGCTGATGTCCACAGCCACACATATTGAACTAATATGTCTTTGACAGAAAGTGATTTTTATTAAGGTATTGATTTATCATTGAGTCACTCAGGAAGAGCACAAAAAGGCTTCCATATACCCACAACAGATGCTAGTAATGTTCTGTTTAAGAGTAAATGTTTTAATAAACTCTACCCAACAAAAATGTTTTTAGTGTTAAATATTAGTGTAAAGCAAACAACCCACTCCCCAAAAGACTATTCATTTTTACATTCCCCCTTCTCCCGCTGCCCACACACACAAACCCTTTTTATTGACAAGGAATGGGAACAATATCTTAATCAACTTCACTAATTTTTTATAATAATTTGTAACGGAGCACTAGAACAATAAGCTGTAATACAAAATGGAGAAAAATTATGAAGTCTTTGCATTAATCTAAGTGCTCTTTGCTGCTCACTTTCTAGTGGCTTCTTTAAAAAAGACAACAACTTCCACACTCATCTTCTTCTGTTGCGATACACAAACTAGAATTCTGATCGCATTTACTCTTGATGAGCACTGATGAGTGGGTATAATCTCAATGAATAATGCAAAGTAGGTTGCAGTTTCACCTGCAACCCTCTTACCACTCTGCTTGTTCAGCTCACCGCTTTTGTGCTAGCATAACCGTTTAATTCTTCTTTCAGTTTAAGCAGAAAATAAGCTGAATTAGAAAGTCTGTCTTGGACTTTGTAAGGTAATTCTACAGATATTAGTCTATTGATGATTAATAGGACCGTCAGTAAACAAGCTTCATACCTGTGAAACATGGCCACGGATCATGCACATTAAGAAACAAGTATATGCTGTAAATCAATTTACAAAGAAATTATTTTGATTTTATTTTGTTAAGTGAGTAATTGAGTATTGACACACTTGTTTTCACAGCAGTTAACTATATCATTACCAATATTTAAATTATATTTGATATCATATCCACTGGGGTATCAAGAGACAACAGATCTACTCTAGCATCAGGTAACCAAGAAACAAATTTGAGAAGCGTTAAGATATTATGCCAACATGTACATTGTTTCAAGTTACATCAACACTTTTATACAAACCAGGAGGTTATACTTCCTAAAGTAATCCAACACATTCAGGCACATAGGAACGGTATCTGTACATGATTATCATGCATTGAAGAGTGTATGGTGCATATACTTCTACACGCTCTAACTTGATACAGTTATTATTATTATTTTAAAAACAACTTTGTATTTTGGTAACCCCCATTCTCCATACACTTCTCAAACATTAAAGAACTAAACCTAAAACCACCTCTAAGAGTGAGAGAGTTATTTTGATCCCTATTTTGCTGACTGGTAAACTGACTAGTTTGTCTAAGGCTACACAGTGAGTCATGAGCAGAGCAGAGACTAGAATCCAGGAGTCCTATGTTATATATGACGGCTTATAGAAAGGGGCATTTGTTTGACCATAAGCTAATGGTCAAATAAGTTACCTGGATCCAAGGCCCACCGATGTAAATGAAGAGTTAAGAAATGAAGGCAATGGATGTTACATCCATATAACTGAAAGCAGAAATCAGCAATGTATTATGCAGATATCAGACAAACACTCAAACTATTAGCCATAAGGTTTCACTATCACAGCTTGTTAAATCATCCAGACACCAGTGACATTAGCAGAAACACAAACTTACATCCTGTGTAGTTGAGTAAGAAATCCAAAAAGTTTCATGTATAGATAGTCAAATGTGAAATTAACAGGCACAGTACATTTAATGTTCTCAGTCTTGTTTGTGCAGGTTGAAAAATTACATTTCATGCTTAGAAGCACCAGGCACCTAAAGACAATTCAGATCCCAATTGTTCAATGATCAGTGATGTCTTGATTGCCCGATATAATCTGCATGACTAGGTGCTAACAAGCAAGTGCTGCGCTAAAATGGGAGTCTCATGATCAAAGTCAAAAATGGGAGTGGTGAAACCATTTGGCCCAGAACCATTCACCAAAAATGGCACAAATTTTAAAATGTAACAAACCAGGGGGTGTGGCTACTTCTGAATTGCAGGGTTCATCAAACAGAAGGGCACACCTTGAATGAAAGTGTGTCAGAGGCTCCCAGGCCACACACATGTTAACGGAGCACTGTGAAAGTTGTTCTGCTAACTTCAATTAAATTGGCCACAGGAGATGTCTGCCATGAGAACTGTGCACCTTCCTTATTTTAGAATTTTTTTCCACTGTCTACAATTGGAAGTGTTACTGGAAGATGAAGATATCATGCTCCTTTTAACACATCTTTCAACCACTGGACTTATCAACCATAAACTATACAAGATGAACAAAAGACACTGCTCGACACTACTAGATTGCAGAGTTTATCTTACAATTTTGGGGTCCCCCCGTGAAGGCAGGAAGACAGAAGTGGGAAAGAAAGAAAAAGAAAGGGGGGGTCGGGGGGGGGGTGGAGGAAGACAAAGAGTTCTGTTTTCTTTTTGTCTGACTGCCAGAGGGGTAGATCAGACTTGGCTCAAGAATATTTTAGTCTGTTTGGGGGCTGCCTAAGCAGTAGCTTGTGCTTAAAGGCAGACGTGTTATGCATAGCAGCATAAATAAAGGAAAGGCTAAGGGACAAATCAGAGTTGATCTTTCACATTTTGGCTTGTGAATGCATTTGCTAAACTGAAGTTTTGCCAAGATGATAGCAAATAGCTTTATTTTAGATGGCACAATGCCTGAATTGTGGGTGTTTAGGAATTTTACATTATATCTTTTCAACACGCATGCAGCAGAAATGGTCTTATGGAATGAGCCATTGGCTCGAAGTTAGGAAGTAGGGAATCCTAACCCCAATGCTGCCTTAACTGAGGAGTTACTCCAAGTGCCACAATCTATAGTTTTATTTATGTTTCCATTGTCCGAACACACCACTGGCATTAAGTACAGGCCTCCCTTATGAAGAAACTGAAAACGCTGGGTTCACCCAGCCTCACTGTTCCTCACCACGTTACAATAAACAAGGGGAAAAACTTGCACACTGACAGCAATAAAGTGATGAGACCAATAAGAGGATAAGCAAAGGAAAAAAAGACACACTGTGGGAAACATACTTACTGTATGCCCTCTCGCTGCTCAAATTCTACACATAACAGTGCAAAAAGAAATTCAGCCACATGGTATAGGAGAATTTGTTTAAAGAGTTTACAGTACCTGGCAGCCTCTCTTTTCAATCTCCACAATACATTTCCGCATCAGAAGCGGTACCATCAAGCCCACATTTTCCTTCTCAACAACTTTTCGAGCATCTACTCCAAATATCACTGGCTCTCGATCTGCAACTAGACCATTAAGAGAATTCTCCCATTGTTCTATGAGAGTCAGTTTGACATAAATAAGCCCTCTGGGCTCCAGTTTGACAGCCAGCTGATGCGCCTTTGTCACTCGAAAAAGAGTGGGGAGAACCACTGTTCCATGACAGCAAACACGATTTTTCCGTGGGGTAGGCTCCCAGCTGAAGACCACTAGTTTTAAGTGCTGGGCATTTTCAATTTCTATGTTGAAAGTGTGGTCCATATCTAAAAAAGTCGTTCTGCATGTAAGCAAGGCTGTTCTTGCTTTGTTTACCGAATCTACCTGAATTGCACAAAAGACATCTTTTGAGTCCATCCGTGGTGGTTTCAAATCTTCAGCACCATAGAAGTGAATACTCATGAGTCCAGATATGTATTGGGAACATTTGGGTTGATCAGAAAAGCTGTAATGTCTAAAAGCATCAATGTCTATTTCAGTTTTATTGTTGTTACTTGGAAGAGTCTCTTTTCCTTTCCCAAACCTGCTTACAGAACTGTGTTTACCCGATTTTGCTATAAGTTCAGGAGAGTCTCCATCACTGAGATAACCACCTTTACTGGAGGATTTGGAACTCCCAGTGCTTTTCTTTTTGTAGCCGTGTTGTGATGATACACTACTGTCAAGATGGTACCGACTTATAACATTCCTGCTAGCAGCTGTTGTTGCATTTCCAGAAGATGGCAAAGATGTGGTATGGCTTGTATCCTGACAGTCACCTTTCAGCAAGGAAGTAAGATTATCTGAATTATTAGAGCTTGAGGTTCCTTTGATGCTCAGCTTCCTGCTGAGTTCTGGCAATTTTTTCATTTTCATTGAAAGTTTTCTCACAGTTCTAGGAGATTTTATCTTGTCAGGGAAAGGCCAATTAATTGATCCTCCTTTTTTCAAAGGATTAGGACTTGGAGGAGAAATTTCTGTCACTCCAGCCTCAGCCTTATTTGCAGGTACAATTCCAGATCCTTTAAAAGAAAAAAACAAAACAAAATAGGAATGCGTTTTTAAAGCTGCCCATTAACAGCAGTTAGCAGCAACAATAATTTGTGAACTATGGAAGAAGTTAGTTTGTCAGTACTCAAATATGGGATCTACTCAGACAAATATTGTGCATCACTTAGACAAACATAAGCATGTCTGCACTTTGCTGACTTTTTCAGCCAAAAGTTGGCAGAGGACAGTCAGAAGCTTGAATCTTCCCGTTCTATTGAGGCTTTGCCTAACAAAATGGAATTGATGCAAACTACATATAAACAATTCACCCATCGCACCTACCTGTGTAGTACTCCATCTGTTGGTATAATGTGTCCTCACACAAGCGGACCTAACTGCTTCACCAGGGTACAGATGCCAGGTAGCCATGAGTTTAGATGGGAAGAGTATGGAACACTACAGAGACTCTCTCCTCTGAATACTGCCACTGCCCTTAGACTACGCAGGAGAGCATACAGCCTGCAGTGTTCTGCAATTAAGGACTACAGAGGAATCCTGTGCATGCATCTTTCTTCTTATTCTCATAAGAACCCTGCCTCTGTCACTGCAGCTCAGAACCCTGTTCCGTTGTCTCCCCCTCCCTCTCAGTATCGGAACACTATTCCACTACAGGCAAATGGTCTTAAGTACACCTTTCTCCCACCACACCTTGGCAGCTACCCTGTTCCCCTCACTCTGCAATGACAAGGAGGAGATTTAATGCACATAAGAACAGCCACACTGGGTCAGACCAATGGTCCATTTAGCCCAGTATTCTTTCTTCCAACAATGGCCAGTGCCAGGTGGCTCCAGTGGGAATTAAGAGAACAGGGGATTGAGTAATCCATCTGGTCACCCACTCCCAACTTCTGGCAAACAGAGGTGAGGGACTCTCAGAGCATGGCATTGCATCCCTGAACATCTGGGCTAATAGCCAGTGATAGACCTATCCTCCATGAACTTATCTAGTTCTTTTTTGAACCCTGTTACAGTTTTGGTCTTCATAAGATCCCTAGCAAAGAGTTCCACAGATTGACTGTGCATTTTGTAAAGAAGTACTTCCTTTTTTGTTTTAAACCTGCTGCCTATTAATTTAATTGAGTGCCCCCTAGTTCTTGTGTTATGTGAAGGCATAAATCATATTTCCTTATTCACTTTCTCCACACCAGTCAAGATTTTATAGACCTCTATCATATCCTCTCTTAGTGTTCCATTATCCAAGCTAAAAAGTCCCAGTCTTTTTAATCTTTCCTCCTACAGAAGCTGTTCCATACCCCTAATCATTTTTGTTGCCCTTCTCTGTACCTTTTCCAATTCCATAATCTTTATTCAGATTGGGGAACCAGATCTGCACTCAGTATTCAACATGTGGGCATACCATGGATTTATATAGAAGCATTATGATATTCTTTTTCATATTTCTCCCTTCCTTAATGGTTCCCAACATTATGTAAGCTTTTTTGACTGCTGCTGCACATTGAGTTTATGTTTTCAGAGAACTATCCACAATGATCCCAAGATCTCTTTCTTGAGTGGTAACAGTTAATTTAGACCCCATCATTTTGTATGTATAGTTGGGATTATGTTTTTCAGTGTCCATTACTTAGCTTTTATCAACATTGAATTTTATCTGCCATTTTGTTGCCTTGTCACCCAATTTAGTGAGATTCCTTTGTAACTCTTGACAGTTAGCTTTGGATTTAACTATCTGGAATAATTCTGTATCATCTGCAAATTTTGCCACCTCACTGTTTACTCCCATTTCCAGATCCTTTATGAATATGTTGAACAGCACTGGTCCCAGTACCAACCCCTGAGGGACGCTACTATTTACCTCTTTTTATTCTGAAAATTGACCATTTATTCCTACTCTTTGTTTCCTATCTGTTAACCAGTTACTGATCGAGGAGGGGACCTTCCCTCTTATCCCATGACTGCTAACTTTGATTAAGAGCCTTTGGTGAGGGACCATGTCAAAGGCTGTCTGAAAGTCCTAGTACACTATATCCACTGGATCATTCTTGTCCACGTTAGTTGACACTCAAAGAATTCTAAGATTGGTGAGGCATGATTTCCCTTTACAAAAGCCATGTTGACTCTTCCCCAGCAAATGATGTTCACCTATGTCACTGGTAATTCTGTTTTTTACCACAGTTTCAACCACTTTGCCTGGTACTGAAGTTGGGCTTACTGGCCTGAAATTGCCAGGATCACCTCTGGAGCTTTTTTAAAAAATTGGTGTCACATCAGCTTCTGTACCAGATAACTGGAGGATAGCTCATTTAAATGATAGGTTACATACCACAGTTAGTAGTTCTGCAATTTTCATATTTGAGCACCTTCAGAAATCTTGGATGAATACCATCTGGTCCTGGTGACTTATTACAGTTTAATTTATCAATTTGTCCAAAACCTCCTCTAATGACACCTCCATCTGGGACAGTTCCTCAGATCTGTCACCTAAAAAGAATGGCTCATGCAAAGATTTCATTTAGTTTCTCCACAACAGCCTTGTCTTCTTTGAGTGCTCATTTAGCACCTCGATCACTGATTGTTTAGCAGACCTCCTGCTTCTGATGTACTTAAACATTTTTTTGCTGTTAGTTTTTGAGTCTTTGGATAGTTGCTCTTCAAATTCTTTTTTGGCCTGCCTAATTATACTTTTGCATTTGACTTGCAAGAGTTTATACTCCTTTCTATTTTCTTCAGTAGGATTTAACATTCAATTTTTAAAGGATGCCTTTTTGCCTCTATTCGCTTCTTTTACTTCGTTGTTTAGCCATGATGGCACTTTTTTGGTCCTATTACTATGTTTTTTAATATGGGATATACATTTAATTTGAGACTCTATTGGGGTGTTTTTAAAAAGTTTACATGTAGCTTGCAGGCATTTCACTTTTGAGACTGTACCGTTTAATTTCTGTTTAACTAGCTTCCTCATATTTGTGCAGTCCCCCTTTCTGAAGTTAACTACTACTTTGGTGGGCTTCTTTTGTGTTCCCCGCGCCCCAGGGATGTTTAATTTAATTATATTATTGTTGCTATTACCTAGCAACTCAGCTATATTCACCTCTTGGACCAGATCCTGTGCTCCACTTAGGACTAAAATCAAGAATTGCCTTTCCTCTTGCGGGTTCCAGGACTAACGGCACCAAGATGCAGTCATTTATGGTGTCACGAAACCTTATCTCTGCATCCCCTTCTGAGGTGACATGTATCCAGTCAATATGGGGACAGTTGAAATCTCCCATTATTATTGGGTTTACTATTTTTACAGCCTCTCAGGTTTCATTCCTCCCAAGAGTCCCAAATTGTCCTGCCTTTTAGCTGCCAAAAACACTTTCCTCTTTCTTGGCACAAAGCTCCCAAAACAGGCTTGGAAGTTAGCCAGTTCCCAGGTGACCTTCACCTGTGAAATAGCTAGTTTTCCAAGGCTTAAACAAGTCACACCAACTCACACTGTTGAAGAATAAAAGACTTCCATCACGTTAACAGTGGAAGGAGGCTGATAATGAACGCTAGCAGGCATACACCAGAAAGGTGTCATGTAATTTTCTGTGCTGAGTGCACACATTTGCGCACAAGCTCTTCGCCCTGTGACAGAAATCAGGACATTCAAGGGAACTCCAGACTCAAAGACAGTGGATCTGATTTTCTTCTCATTTCCACCAGTGTCAACCAGGAGTAATCCCACTGAAGCTAACAGAGTTACATCAGGGTAAAATTAGGGCACACATTAGAGGGGAACTGGGCCCAGTAATTCCAAGCTGATCAGTAGGAGTGAGATCATAGTGCTTATTGACAGTCTCTTCATTTTGAGTCATCTTTTTCTCCCTTCTGATATTTATGTTCCTCCTTGGTAGCAGTTACTACCATATTCATTCTGCAGTTTGGACAACATAGCTGTCACCACCGAGAATTTAAGACTACTTCACAAAAGATCACTAGCTATGGGCAACCAGAAAGACTGTACAAAGTGCACCTTCCTCCCATCCCATCACAACAGGAACAGGTCAGAATACTAAAAAAAAAAAATAAAAAAATAAAAAAATAAAAAAAATCCCCAAACTTCTATTTTCTACAACCACAAAAACAGGAAAGTTTTGATTCTCAATTTTGGTAATAAAATGCATGCTGATCCATATAAAATTAGATGTTACATAGCTTCTGTGCATACTGAACCTCTTTAATATACTTACTTTTCTAGTTGGCATATTGGTCATAACCATTGACAAAACTTCAAGCATAAATTACAAACCTTTGCTAATACAGGACTGGGAGAATCTGCAAATCCGCAAGCGTTGCTTACGAAGGATACTCAGTACGTCACACTGTCACATTTAATAAGATGTCTGCACCTATTAGATTTTTAAAATGCTTTTAGCTTTAATTCATAGCATTTCACATAAGCAAATGACTGTACAGTCATTAATTGATCTTCACAATTCCCCTTGGCTAACCTGATTTAGTTTTAATCATTTACAAGGTTAGTTTACTTTATGCACTTCACTCAGCTTGAACTGTGAAATCATATAAGCTAACTTCACTATTTTATTAAAACCTTATTTTTAATTTGTTTTTGCACATGTTACAAAAATCTAACTTTTGGGGACTAACTTGAGTATCATTTTGATAATTTTTACAGATACAATTTCTTTTTTTGTTTGTTTTTTTTACAAAAAGGTTCCTGATAGTAAAAAAAAAAAAAAAAAAAAAAATCCAGTTGTGAAAAATAGTGCACAAGATCTGTTTTCCGGCAGAATACATGAAATTTCTTGTTTCCTCAGTTGCTGTGTCCCATCAAAGTAGTTTCCTTACAGGAAAAGGACTTTTTCTAGCACGCCTGCTGTGTTCTTCTGGCAAGCAGCTAGTAAGAAATGTGGCGTTTGATAAAACTGGACAAAGCCTTCCCTTGTACTGCAAATCACAGCACAGTCCCACTGGTGGGCTGGCCTGAAGCCTTCTATACTAATCAGTACCATGCTTTAGCCTG